AATAATAAAAATATAAAACAATAAAATTCTCATGACGTATCGACTGCAACACAAACAATCATCATCAGGTGTGAAAACCACAACAAGAAAATTTTAAAAAAGAGGCGGTTAGTTTTAACGTTAGCACCACGGATAAAGATTTGACAGTTTGTTCAGATGGACGAGTCCATCTATGTTCGGAAAAGAGTAGGGGGGAGATGAAAAATAATGGATGCGGTCTGAAAGCCACCTTAAGCGTGATCAATCAATTAAGACCTGGAATGGTTTATCAAATCCGTCCAATGATTGCTAAGCCAGAATCCATCTTCTCGGTTGAAATTGTGTCTGTGTTTGTATATGTGGAGAGCCTCATGAACGAATCTCTCATGGTAGCCAGATGGCTTGCAAAGAACCTCTGTCTTGGAGAAGTCAATGTCATGTGAACCTACTGAATTATAACAGTGATCTGCCACGGCCGAGGTGTTGGTCCTACCGTGTTTCAGGTCTGCTTTGTGTTCACGAATGCGGTCCGAGACATGTCGTTTGGTTTCTCCCATGTAACTACTACCACAGAGGCAACTTAGTTTGTAGACGCCAGGGTACTGTATGTCCAGAATCACATCTTTTACAGATGGAACCAGATCACGGATTTTATGTAATGTGTTGAATCGGACCTGGATCTTGTGTTTATTCAAGATTTTAGAGATCTTTTCTGTGATCCCCGCAATGTAGGGTAAAGTGATGGTTTTGAAAGGCTCCTCAAGAGGGTCCTTCTTCATGGTTGGAGTGATAGCTTCGCGGATTGTGTAGTCGGAATAACCATTAGCCTTAAGAGCTTGGTGTACGTGCTTGAGTTCACTAGCTATATGTTCCTGGTCGGATATGCATTGGGATCTATGGTGCAGAGTCTTGATGAGGAAATTCTTCTGGGATGGATGGTGGTGGGAATCCGGTTTCAGGTAAGCATCCGTATGGGTAGCTTTCCTGTAGACAGAGTGGCTCATTGAAACATCAGGTCTCTTTTTTATTAGGACATCCAAAAAAGGTAGCTTGCCATCTTTTTCGACTTCCATGGTAAAGCTGATGGCTGAGTGTATGGAATTTATGTGATCGAAGAATTGGTCTAGAGCAGGCCGGCCATGTGGCCAGATGACAAAAGTGTCATCCACGCACCTCTTCCATAAGGTTGGGCGCAGAGTGGCAGTCTGGATGGCGTCAGTCTTAAATTTCTCCAGGAAAATGTTGGCTTTAACCGGAGATAGGGGGGAGCCCATTGGGGTGCCCTCAGTTTACTTGTAGAAAGTTCCATTCCAAGTGAAGTATGTATTGGTTAAGCAGTGTCTTACCAGGGGGGGTACCTCAGTGTTTAATCCTTGATGAACCAAGTCTTCAATGATTGCGATGGTGTCAGGTACAGTAATTTTGGTGAATAAGGAAACTACATCAAAACTGACAAGCAGGTCGTCTGGGGACAGGGAAATACCCTTGATTGTCGATACCAGGTGAGTAGAATGTTGTACCGCAGAGATGGTTTTTCCAGTGAAAGGCCGCAGGATTTCAGACAGAAAATGAGCCAGTTTGTAGGTGGGGGAGTTGATAGTAGAGACGATGGGACGAAGGGGTGTATCTACTTTATGTATTTTTCTTGGTGGCCTGGCAGCAGAAGGTTTCAACGAGAACTGTTTGATTTGATCAATTAATGTGGTTGAATCAGAAATGATTTTGTTGGTTTTTAAGACTCTGCACCATAGAGCCCAATGCATTTCCGACCAGGAACATATAGCCAGTGAACTAAAGCACGTACACCAAGCTCTTAAGGCTAATGGTTATTCCGACTACACAATCCGCGAAGCTATCACTCCAACCATGAAGAAGGACCCTCTTGAGGAGCCTTTCAAAACCATCACTTTACCCTACATTGCGGGGATCACAGAAAAGATCTCCAAAATCTTGAATAAACACAAGATCCAGGTCCGATTCAACACATTACATAAAATCCGTGATCTGGTTCCGTCTGTAAAAGATGTGATTCCGGACAAACAGTACCCTGGCGTCTACAAACTAAGTTGCCTCTGTGGTAGTAGTTACATTGGAGAAACCAAACGACATGTCTCGGACCGCATTCGTGAACACAAGGCAGACCTGAAACACGGTAGGACCAACACCTCGGCCGTGGCAGATCACTGTTATAATTCAGTAGGTTCACATGACATTGACTTCTCCAAGACAGAGGTTCTTTGCAAGCCATCTGGCTACCATGAGAGATTCGTTCATGAGGCTATCCACATATACTAACACAGAGACAATTTCAACCGAGAAGATGGATTCTGGCTTAGCAATCATTGGAAGGATTTGATAAACCATTCCAGGTCTTAATTGATTGATCACGCTTAAGATGGCTTTCAGACCGCATCCATTATTTTTCGTCTCCCCCCCTCCTCTTTTCCGAACATAGATGGACTCGTCCATCTGAACAAACTGTCAAATCTCTCTCCGTGGTGCTAACGTTAAAAATAACTGCCACTTTTTCAAATTTTCTTGTTGTGGTTTTCATACCTGATGATGATTGCTTGTGTTGCAGTCGAAACGTCGTGAGAATTTTATTGTTTCATATTTTTATTATTTTATTGTTTCCCTTCTACGTGACTTTACCGAAAGAACCAAGAATATGAATCCCTGTAGTCACGAAAGCTTTAAATCAAAATCTACTACATCTAAAACAATCTGGGTTCCGAAAAAAATACAGCACCACATCTGCTGCATTAGACTCTCTGAATCAAATTTACAGTAGCCTTGATAATAAGCAGTACTGTGCCTGTCTTTTTCTTGACCTGTCCAAAGCTTTTGATACAGTTGACCACAACACCCTGCTTAGTAAACTAAGTTGCCTCGGTTTTTTCCGAAAACACAGTAAAATTGTTAAAAAATTTACTCTGTTCTCGCACCCAAACTGTATTCACAGATGGTTGGAGGTCAAACAGTGTGACGATAACAAAAGGGGTTCCACAGGGTTCCATCCTCGGCCCTCTCTTGTTCTCTCTTTATGTCAATGACTTGGGCACTGACCTGGATCATTCCAGGGTAAATATTTTTGCAGATGACACGATACTGATTACTGCTGGTCGCTCTCCGGATGACGTGATTGCTAAGCTCCAGGGTGATTTCAACAAACTACAACATCAGCTAGTTGCTCTTAAACTATTCCTGAATACCTCCAAAACCAAGGTGCTATGCTTCTCACCGGGACTAAAGCAGGAAGTTATTTTTCCCCAATTACATTTCTTAAATAATTATCAAATAGAGCAAGTCAAGATCTATAAGTATCTTAGGGTCATCCTGGATTCAAAACTGAATTTTGAAGATCACATTGATAATATTGGTAAAAAGACAAAAAATAAAAATTGGTTTTCTGTATCGACACAAGGACTGCTTCCCCCCTATGTTCCGTTTGGAATTGATAAATGCTACCATACTGCCTCTACTTGATTACTGTGATATCGTGTATAAATCAGCCCCAAGTACTGTACTGAAGAAGCTTGATTCCATTTATCACTCGGCCTTAAGATTTGCATTGAACTGCCCATATATGACTCACCACTGTGATCTCTACATTGGGTAAAACTTAACATCTCTTAATGTTCGACGGCTTGTGCACCAGATCGTATTTATTCACGATGTACTTACAGAAAAATCCGCAGACTACCTGCTGGATCTCCTCTCTGTTTCAAAGAACAAATTTGACCTCAGGTCTTCGCTCATTTACCAGCTTCACATTCCCTATTGCCGTACAAAAACCGGAAGAAGGGCCTTTGCTATTGATGCCCCCAGGGTCTGGAATGCTATTGCCAATAAACTGCAACTTAAATCGCTACCAATGAGATCTTCTCTCAAAACTGCTCTAGAGGAGTTGTACACCCCTAGCTGCCACTGCTATTCAGTGGCCTAAAATAAAATGTTTCGCTCTGTATTTTGATTTAGTGTGCTGATCTTAAAGGTGCATTCAAAAATGTGATACTCCGACTGATGCTCCTGTTTGTTGTGGAGTGACTCATGCAGCCAGCTATGGCTCTAGGGTTTGGTGTTACATGTTATTTATGTAGTTTATTGTTACAAATTCGGTCACAGTCCCTATGATCACAGTTACATGGCATTTATGGCTTTATTTTGGTGATTTCGAAAACGGTTTTTGGTTTGGCCATGTTTTTGTTTTTTGTAGTACGGAGTTAGACTGATGGTCTTAATCTAAGTTTTCTTGTGGTTGTTGTTGTTTGACTTGCATCCCACTGGGATGTTTGCACACAGCGTTGGTGTACGGTGCTTTTTCAGGAATATTTTGATGTTTTTCCTGGTTTTTCTGTTTGCATAGTCACGTAGTCACTTTAAGATGTTTTCTTGTTCATGTTTTTTGTTTGTTGCGGTTGCACCCGATTCAAGAGCTGAATGGCTAACAGGGCTATACCAAATAAATGGAACTGAACTGAACTGTTCAGCCTGCATGCGCATCTTACGTGTTGTCGCGGACTGTGCTTTACCCTACATTATATATTATTTATTACCACGCGATTTTTCCCACAAACGCGGTGTTCGTTCCAGGAGAACAAAGACTGTACAACCAATCTGGGGCCAGCGCCAAGCTTAGCCACCTTTATCTCCCCAGCGCAGGTGTTGACCACATCGTGCCAAGGTGCTCATTTTCAAAGAAGCTAGCAGAGGAAGGCGAAATACTGCGTAGTTGAATGCTGGCCTTGTGTGTGAGAGGGGAGAGAATTTGCTAAGATAAAATAAATACATATACACTATACTCGCAATACCTGCAGCAGCGCATGGCAGGGGCATTCAAAGCAACTGCCGACGGGACGATTATAATGATCAGAATCAGAATCGTTATTGAGACTGGGGGAATACGATGAGCTATGGAGCTTTTTGCACAGATATCCAGGAGGTGTGGGGTCACAAAGTTGATCAACTCCTGGGAACAGAGCCGCCCACTCAAGGGGGCGCTGGGGTGAGGCCTCCACCACCGGGGTGGGCCCTCCAGGGGTGGGGCCTCCAGAGGTGGGGCCTCCAAGGGTGGGGCCTCCAGAGGTGGGGCCTCCAGAGGTAGGGCCTCCAGGGGTGGGGCCTCCAGGGGTGGGGCCTCCAGGGGTGGGGCCTCCAGTGGTGGGGCCTTCAGAGATGGGGCCTCCAGTGGTGAGGCCTCCAGGGGTGGGGCCTTCAGGCGTGGGGCATCCAGGGGTGGGGCCTCCAGTGGTAGGGCCTCCAGGGGTGGGGCCTCCAGTGGTAGGGCCTCCAGGGGTGGGGCTTCCAGTGGTAGGGCCTCCAGGGGTGGGGCCTCCAGTGGTAGGGCCTCCAGGGGTGGGGCTTCCAGTGGTAGGGCCTCCAGGGGTGGGGCCTCCAGGGGTAGGGCCTCCAGGGGTGGGGCTTCCAGTGGTAGGGCTTCCAGAGGTGGGGCCTCTAGGGGTGGGGCCTCCAGTGGTAGGGCCTCCAGTGGTAGGGCCTCCAGAGGTGGGGCCTTCAGGGGTAGGGCCTCCAGGGGTGGGGCCTCCAGTGGTAGGGCCTCCAGGGGTGGGGCCTCCAGGGGTGGGGCCTCCAGGGGTGGGGCCCTGCAGGGGTGGGGCCTCCAGGGGTGGGGCCTCCAGGGGTGGGGCCTCCAGGGGTGGGGCTTTCAGGGGTGGGGCCTCCAGTGGTAGGGCCTCCAGGGGTGGGGCCCTGCAGGGGTGGGGCCTCCAGGGGTGGGGCCTCGAAGAGTGGGGGTGGGGGTGGGCGGTGGGTCCTACCCGGCCCTCCCCTCCCCTCTCTGGGGTTGGCCCTCCACCACTAACTGTCCTTTGGCCCAACGCAAGTGGACTCTGGTTAACTGTCTCCCGGCGATCTTTGTCAAGGAGCATAGAACATCGTGTAAATTCCGGTCATCCTCGCAGCAGCGGCTTTTGACTGACGTTCTTCCTTTCACTGGAGTTATGCACATTTAAATCTAGATTGAAAGCTATTTTTTTTAGAAGTTTGTGGTCCTTCCCCCGGACCTCCGATTAGCATGGTTGGCTACGTACGGTGCGAAAGAAGTTCTACATACATACATACCTCCTTGCCCCTCCTGCCCCCCGCCAGTCCCCCCAATTCCAAGCGGAGCTGGAGCCGGGAATTTCTGGGACTCTTTCATATCTCGACGTTGGCAACGCCGCGGCAGAATATGTGGAGGGTCAGAGGGACGAGGCTCGCGTGCAAGACCATTTCCACGCTGCCACGTGGACGTGCGGGGTTGTCTTGTGGCTGCAGATGAATATGTGAAGCTCGGCTATTGTTTCCGCATGGTCCATTGAGGAAAATTGCTTCGCAACGATGCTTACGCTACATTAAGGAGGTGAAAGTCTTTGTAAGAACCCAACACAAAATTAGGCATTTGGCGTTGTTGTGAAAAGTGTGACAAGATGATCAAGCAGACAGTTGGTCCCCTTCCCATCTATATTTCCACTTCATTTTGTTTACAGATCCCAACAGCCACGACCTGTTGGGAGTGCATACTTTCAGCGAAATTTGTTCAAACGCAGGAGAAATGGACCGGTTTCAACATGCACTGTCTCATTAGCAGGAGAGCCAGGCTTGCTTGAACCAATACTGGCAAACTCCCAGATGTTTCTTGGCAAGGTCCCCCCCACCCCCTCTCTCGTTAAGATATTGGAGCTAGCTCGAGATATTGGAGCTAGCTCGAGATGTTGGAGCTAGCTCGAGATGTTGGAGCTAGCTCGAGATATTGGAGCTAGCTCGAGATATTGGAGCTAGCTCGAGATGTTGGAGCTAGCTCGAGATATTGGAGCTAGCTCGAGATGTTGGAGCTAGCGCGAGATGTTGGAGCTAGCTCGAGATATTGGAGCTAGCTCGAGATATTGGAGCTAGCTCGAGATGTTGGAGCTAGCTTGAGATGTTGGCGCTAGCTGGGGATATTGGAGCTAGCTAAAGATATTGGAGCTAGCTCGAGATATTGGCGCTAGCTCGAGATATTGGAGCTAGCTCGAAATATTGGAGCTAGCTCGAGATGTTGGAGCTAGCTCGAGATGGTGGAGCTAGCTCGAGATATTGGAGCTAGCTCGAGATGTTGGAGCTAGCTCGAAATATTGGAGCTAGCTCGAGATGTTGGAGCTAGCTCGAGATATTGGAGCTAGTTCGAGATATTGGAGCTAGCTCGAGATGTTGGAGCTAGCTCGAGATGTTGGAGCTAGCTGGAGATATTGGAGCTAGCTCGAGATATTGGAGCTAGCTCGAGATATTGGAGCTAGCTAAAGATATTGGAGCTAGCTCGAAATATTGGAGCTAGCTCGAGATGTTGGAGCTAGCTCGAGATGTTGGCGCTAGCTGGAGATATTGGAGCTAGCTCAAGATGTTGGAGCTAGCTCAAGATGTTGGCGCTAGCTGGAGATATTGGAGCTAACTCGAGATATTGGAGCTAGCTCAAGATATTGGAGCTAGCTCGAGATATTGGAGCTAGCTCAAGATATTGGAGCTAGCTCAAGATATTGGAGCTAGCTCGAGATGTTGGCGCTAGCTGGAGATATTGGAGCTAGCTCGAGATGTTGGAGCTAGCTCAAGATATTGGCGCTAGCTGATGATATTGGAGCTAGCTCGAGATATTGGAGCTAGCTCGAGATTTTGGAGCTAGCTCGAGATATTGGAGCTAGCTCGAGATATTGGAGCTAGCTCGAGATATTGGAGCTAGCTCAAAATATTGGAGCTAGCTCGAGATATTGGAGCTAGCTCAAGATATTGGAGCTAGCTCAAGATATTGGAGCTAGCTCGAGATATTGGAGCTAGCTCAAGATATTGGAGCTAGCTCAAGATATTGGAGCTAGCTCGAGATATTGGAGCTAGCTCGAGATATGGGCGGAAACACAATTACTGTTGCGGGACTGTGGGGGGGTCGATTTTGGGTTCCGGGCCAAGAGCTCCGCAGCTCTCCACACGAGAACGCAACGCCGTTAACCGAGGCCACGTGTCCGCGATGACAATCGAATGTGCGCGTGATATAAATTGTTCATTTCATTTAATTTATTAGGTATAGCCCTGTGAGCCATGCGGCTCTTAAGTCAGGTGCAACCGCAACAAACAAAATTTCAACACAGAACATCTTAAAGCGACAACGCGTAACAGAAACATCCTGGAATAAACCAGCAAATATTCCAAGCAAAAAAAAACTTATTAAAACGCTGTGTGCAAAGATCAATGAGGTGCAAGCCAACAACAACAACCATAAGACAATTTAGATTAACCATATGTTTTCGAATCACTAAAATAAATCTATAAAAAACGATGTAACAACAGTAATCATAGGAACTGTGATTTTAAATTTAACAATAAACGATATACATAACACGTACGACAAAAACCTGCAGCCATAGCTGGCCGCACGACACTCCCAGTGTATGATGTGTGAGGGAGTCAGCAGCAGCGTGAGTGAGTGTATGATGTGTGAGTCAGCGTATGATGTGTAAGTGAGTCAGTGTATGATGTGTGAGTCAGCGTATGATGTGTGAGTGAGTTAGCAGCAGCTTGAGTGAGTGTATGATGTGCGAGTCAGCGTATGATCTGCGAGTCAGCGTATGATGAGTGAGTCAGTGTATGATGTGTCAGCGAGTCAGCGGCAGTGTGAGTGAGTGTAGGATGTGTGAGTCAGCGCACGATGTGTTAGTCAGCGCATGATGAGTGAGTCAGTGTATGATGTGTGAGTGAGTTAGTGGCAGTGTGAATGAGTGTATGATGTGCGAGTGAGCCAGCACACGATGAGTGAACCTGTGTATGATGAGTGAATGGGTCAGTGGTTGTGCGAGTGTATGATGAGTGAGTGAGTAAGCGCATGATGAGTGAGTCAGTGTATGATGTGTGAGAAAGTCAGTGCATGGTGCGAGTGAGTCAGTGTATGATGTGTGAGAAAGTCAGTGTCAGCTCCCTCTGCTCGTGCCGTCGCCCCCCCCCCCCCCTCCCGCCGGCTCTGTCGCCCCCTTGGCTCTGTCGCCCCCCCCCCCCGGCTCCGTCGCTCCCCCCCCAGCTCCGTCGCCCCTCCCCCTGGCTCCGTCGGCCCCCCCCGGCTCCGTCGGCCCCCCCCCCCCAGCTCCGTCAGCCTCCCCCCCGGCTTCGTCGCCCCCCCCCCTCGGCTCCGTCGGCCCCCCCCCTGGCTCCGTCGGCTCCGTCAGCCCCCTCGGCTCCCTCGGCCCCTTCCCAAACGGCCCCGCCAGCCGCTGCTGGGAGCGCGGCCCAGGAGCGCCCTGAGAGCGGCCATCTTGCGAGCATGGCCTGCTTATCCAAGATGGCCGGCCCAGCGATGCAGGCCTCTACGCGTGCCGTTCCGGGGAGCTGGGCTTCACGCGCTCCGTGGCCCGCCAGCGCCTGGCCGCGTGCCAGGCCCCGCGCGTCGAGGCCGCCACCTTGCCGCGTGCCAGGCCCCGGAGGCCCCGGGCGGTGGCAGCGACGTGGCTGAGAGTTTGCCCACCACGGAGACGAAGTAACGATGACGACGAGGAGGTGGTGGTGGTGGTGGTGGTCACCTCCAGCGCAGACAGCACGAGACGGATTGTGTGCCACGAAACGGGCCCGCGAGGGATGGCGGGGTCACGTGCGGAGGCCACCCCGGCGTGGCCCGTGGGTGGCCAGCGGCCTTCATCATCCAGCGGTGGAGTAACGAGAAGTCCTGGAAACGCCCCCCCCCCCCACCCCCTCCACGTAACTTTAACACAATTCCAAAAATCAGCTTGCTGATGTGATAAGTTAGGCAGTCGCTGCACTTAGAATTGTTTGATGACTTTTAATTAAAATAAAATTTAAAAAATGTCCAGTGGCCTGGCTGGAGGGCCCGGTCCAGGCCAGTGATAGCCGGCGTGACGCGCTCGGTGTTGTGTGACGTTTGTACGAAAGTTTCGTCCGCGTGTTTTTCTTATCATCCTCGAGGGTATGCTGCAAATGAATTGTAGCATTCTCTTGTGTGTGCGTGTGTGTATGTACTGTACTACCAACCTGGCCAACCAGAGTTCGATTCCCGCTCAGGGCAACCAACACCCGTGACGATTAGCTGAACCGGTCCTGACAAAGGCGGCCGGGCGTGGTGTTGGCCACCCACCCCCTCGTGCGCCGTGCCGGCCTTCGTAGGCGCTGCCCGTTAACAGCACTTGCCCCAAAAGTCTGTTAAGGCTATACGGGGGGGGGGTGGGTCTTCATATTTGTCTCGATACTGTACTGTACACACACACTCAATACTAGAGTACTCGGTGCATATCTAAAGTGAGCATACGGCTCAGTCCAGGGCCGTCCATAGGTGGGGAGGGGGGTCGACACGGGGCAAACTCCACCGTGTGCCCCCCCCCCCCACCGCGCCCCGGTATCACATCCGCCATTGTGACGTCGAAGCGCGGGCTGCCCCTCCCCCGCCATCAAAGAGCGGGGCCCGGGACGGTCGCCCCGATTCACCGTCACCCGAGGGACGGCTATCTCTGTAACTCAGTTCGTGTAGTAGATACTACCGACTATTGTATGCCGGGTGTGTAGTAGACACTACTGACTTGTATGTAGGGTGTGTAGTAGACACTACTGACTATTGTATGTAAGGTGTGTAGTAGACACTACTGACTTGTATGTAGGGTGTGTAGTAGACACTACTGACTATTGTATGTAAGGTGTGTAGTAGACACTACTGACTATTGTATGTAGAGTGTGTAGTAGACACTACTGACTATTGTATGTAGGGTGTGTAGTAGATACTACTGACTATCACATGTAGGGTGTGTAGTAGACAATACTGACTATTGTATGTTGGGTGTGTAGTAGATACTACTGACTATTGTATGTAGGGTGTGTAGTAGAAACTACTGACTATTGTATGTCGGGTGTGTAGTAGACACTACTGACTATTGTATGTAGGGTGTGTAGTAGACAATACTGACTATTGTATGTAGGGTGTGTAGTAGACACTACTGACTATTGTATGTAGGGTGTGTAGTAGACACTGCTAACTATTGTATGTAGGGTGTGTAGTAGACACTACTGACTCTATTGTATGTAGGGTGTGTAGTAGACACTACTGACTATTGTATGTAGGGTGTGTAGTAGAAACTACTGACTATTGTATGTCGGGTGTGTCGTAGATACTACTGACTATTGTACGTAGGGTGTGTCGTAGATACTACTGACTATTGTATGTAGGGTGTGTAGTAGACACTACTGACTTTATTGTATGTAGGGTGTCTAATAGATACTACTGACTATTGTATGTAGGGTCTGTAGTAGACAATACTGACTATTGTATGTTGGGTGTGTAGTAGATACTACTGACTATTGTATGTAGGGTGTGGAGTAGATACTACTGACGAGTATATGTAGGGTGTGTAGGCATGTATGCCTACAAAATACATTTATCTTTTAGAGGGAGGCAGTGGGGGGAGTAATTTTTGTTTCCAGGGGGGGTTCGACAATAGTTGTGAAACTGTTTGGTCAACATTTTATACCCTCACATCTGGGGGGGGGGGGGGGGGGGTCCACTTTCTGCAACGTTTTGATTCAGGCCTTCTGAAAGGCTCTTATAATTCAGTTAACAGACAAAGGGACACATGGCACGCCGGGCTTTGAACATAGATCACACAGCGTCTAAATGCAACCGGAGTCCGAGATGCGGCACAGGAACGGCGGGCATATTTTCATCTAAAGACACTGGGAGGCAGTGGGAGCAGAGGGGGAGAAAGGTCTTGAACCTGGACTGGGACAGGGCGCTGTGGGCAGGAATCTGACAGCACGGACGGCTGGGGAATAGATTTCCACTCGATGACGAGGTAAAGAGTGATTGAGTGTTGAAAGGATTGGAGTGAGGCGATAGGTAAGAGAGTCTGCGGAGGGGAATAGAGAGAGGGAGATAAGGGTGAGGTAAGAGAGTGCGTGGAGGGGAGTAAAGTCAGAGGGGGGAGGTAGGAGTGTGCATGTGTAGTGGGTTCCGGAGATACTTTGGATAGGTAACTTCTTTATTATATACAGCCCTCCAACAGTCTTCCTCATACACTGTTCAGCCTAGCGACACAGACTACTCCGAGCGTGCCTTGACACTGGCAACGCTCTCGGGTCATCCGCTATAATTACCTAGGGGGAGGCTACCCTGACCCAACCCAGCCAAGGTGCGGGTCTAGACTCTGGCTTCCTCGGACCTCGCCCTCAAGGGCGTGGGGCCGGGAGTCCCAGAGTCCCACCACCGGCCCGCACAGCGTCCCAGCCCTGACAAGGACAGCGGGTCGAGAGGGTCCAGGGTCCTATCTAGCTGGTCTTCGACTTTGGTCTTCAACTGGTCCCAGACTGCCTTGGGAGGTCCCCTTTTATGCCCCTTGCCCATTGAGGGGTGGGGCTGCGAGGGATCGTAGACTCCCCCGCAGCCCCCCCCCCCCCCCCAATGGGCTTAGCTGTCTGGGGATCCTGAGCCCCCAGCAGCCCCCAGCAGCCCCTCCCCTCTTGGGCTGGTGCTGCAGCCCCTCCCCTGACGGTACGAGGTACCGTTCCATCTATGGTGCTACACATGGAAGGGAGGAGAGCGAGATGAGAGAGAGGTAAGGGGTAAGTCTACAAACAACAACATTGCTGTTGTAGATCCTCTATGGTAGTGAATGCTCGTTTAGTTTTCGCGCGAAACGTTGGGCGTTGGGCGATGCAAATGAGCCACACAAACCACCGAGTCGTGAAAAAATACCTACGACATTTATTTCATTCTCTGGCCACGGACGTCCAAACCCTTCACAACTCCACTCAAATCTCTGCCAGCGTGGTTAATACGGACGCGCGTCATTGCGTTTCTCACTCGTGAGAATGGCAGGTTTCAAATCCTTGCCATGTAACAATGCGGGAGGATTTTCCCTTACTCCGGTTTTTCCATCGGAGCATCTGCGCAGTTCAAAACGCCGACACGGCGCCTTTGCTCGGACAAGTGCTCGCCGTCACGTTAAAATTTGCTGGACCGTTGGTTTTTAATTTGTAATACCTCTTATTAAATATCAGTCTCGCCGCCACTGCTCACGGTTTACGCGCACGCACACACATTCTATTCGCTGTTAGGATTAAAAAAAATAAAAATTACCACCAAATTGCACACTATGTGCTGCACGCACACACGCACGCACGCATGCGGTCCCACGGTAAAATAAGAAGACCAATAAGTTAATGTCAACAAGTGACGATAAGTAAATGCAAGTCTTTAGTTTTAAATGTACATAAAGTGAGAGCCCGGGTGGCTACAGTTTAGGCTACATCCAGGTAATAGTCGCGTTTTAACAACGGCTTGAGAACATTCAAGAGGGGGGGGGGGGTGGTCATTAGGGGGGGGGGGGGGGGGGAGGAGCAGTTTGTTCACATTTCGGAGAAATGAAAAGTTTTTGTTCGATTTTTAGGCGCGTATTTCCTCTCCAGCTTCCATCGCCAAAAGCCAGAAGTGCGCATCTCAACGGTGCAGTGTAAAGAACGAGAAGCGTCGTTAAAGGGGGCGCAAGCCCTGCAAGTGCTCAGTTCCTCGTGCCACTGCTGGCCGGGTAAGGGCCTCCCCCCCCCCCCGCCGCCCCAACTCGAGGGGAGTTCTAGAGAGCCAACCTCTTGACAGACATTTTTGGGCCTTTACCCTTCCACGCCGGCCTCCACGCCGGCCAGACACCTTGAAAGAGCTGCTGAGAGCACCCAACGGTTGACCGCACTCGCGGGGGTCACGTACGTGCATACACCATTGGGTAGGCAGAGGGGGGCCACAGGGATATCGGATCGAGCCGGCGGCCTCTGCGTCACAGGCAGCGCCAGGGTGCCGATCGGTGGAGGTGTTCTGCTTGAGATCACGTACCACAAATGTACAGCCTCCGTAAAACCCCACTTTTAAAATTTGTATACATCTCCGCTTAACTTAAAGGGCGCGCACGTCTGAGGGTCATGCACATTGTCGTAACCTTCTGACCCCCCCCCCCCGCCACCACTGAACATATGTGAAAAATAGCTTTGTAGCTCATCGTATTCCTCCAGTATAAATAAACATTCGGAATCTGTCGTGTTCCGCTGGTGATGGATACACACGCCATCTGACCTGACTGGGGTGGTGCCGGTTAACCTACACGTCAACAAAGCAATTTTTTTGTCGAGGACAAAGTGCTAGGGACTCCAGGAGATGCAGCGGCCACGCTGTGGGGCCGGGGCCGGGGGGGGGGGGGGCGTCCACTAGACCATTGCGAGAGTTCAGTTGGCGCGGTCGACTCGACGCTCGTGATAACGGGTGCCGGGGTCGCAGAATTGCGACGGCTGCACCAAGGTTCTGCGACGACTGCAGCGATGAGTGAGTGAGATAGGTGGGGCCGGAGGGTTCAAAGTGGTTCATCGAACGACAAGGCACCGGGGCCATTCCGCACCTCCTCCACCTCATTGTGTCTGCTCCTTCTCGCACCTCCTCCTCCTCATCGCACCACCTCCTCATCGCACCACCTCCTCCCGCTCTTCGAACCACCACCTCTTCCCCCTCCTCATCACGTCCCGGCTCACTGCTCAGCCTTGATGTACGACACTTTGCTCTTGTCCTCTGCCTGCTCGGTGATGGTGTTGAAGGACCGAGGCACGCTGTCCTCCTCCTCCTGCGCGGCTCGCTCCAGCACAGGCAGCCGCTTGGCTGTGAGCGGATGGTGCTGCTGCTGCTGCTGCCGCCGCCGCTTGGTAGTGCTGACACGCCGGCGGAAGGTGTCACCCGCGAGGAAGTAGAGCACCGGGTCGATGCAGCTGTTGATGCTGGCAAGTCCGCGCGTCACCTGGTAGACGGCATAGATGCGGGCCGACAGCTCACACTCGCTGGGCCCCAGGTAGAGGCGGGCCAGGATGTTGACATTGCGCATCACGTGGTACGGCAGGAAGCAGACGGAGAAGGAGATCATGACGATGACGACGAGGCGCAGCGAGCGCTGCCGCAGCGTGGCGTTGGACAGCTGGTGTTGCACGAGCTTGCGCGCAATGAAGCCATAGCACACGAGGATGACCACGAAGGGCACCAGGAAGCCGAGCACCGTCACGGCCACGTTGTAGGTCAGGTAGCGCTCCAACTCATCCTCCGGTGCCGTGTCGTAGCAGGTCTTGCCACCAGAGTGGTTATTGCCCGTCTTGGCGAAGATGAGGCTGGGGAAAACCTCGGCGACCACCACGGCCCACACGACGGCGCTCACGAGGCGTGCGTGCCGGCGCTTGAGGCGCCCGAGCGAGCGCATGGTGTGCACCACGCCGGCGTAGCGGTGCGCTGAGATGCACGTGAGGAAGAGGATGCTCCCGTAGAGGTTCACGTGGAAGATGAAGCGCTCCGCCTTGCACCACGCCTCGCCGAAGATCCAGTCGGTGCGGTTGAGGTAGTAAAAGATGAGGAAGGGCAGTGTGAATATGTAAAGGAGGTCGGCGAGGGCCAGGTTGAACATGTAGACCGTAATGCTCGTCCAGGGGCGCATGCGCGCCGAGCTGAACATCCAGAGGGCGAGGCCATTACCGATGAGACCGAGCACGAAGGCGATACTGTAGAAGGTGGGCAGCAGGACATGCTGGAAGGCCTTGTTCAGCTGGCAGCGATGCTCGTCGCTCCCGTTGGCACTCACCGTAGGGCCCGCAGTCGAGTTGAAATTGTCGGCCATCGCCGCCGTCGCGTTCACGGCAGAGGGAATCGCGGGTCGTGGGCACTACGTACTGCTGGGGAGTCCCCCCCACCCACCCCCGTGCACCCTGGAGGTGGCTAATTTGGCAAGTTTCAAATTGATTTAAGAGCTATTTTCACGCGAGCAGATATTAATCATAAAACGCTTGACGGCTGCGTGGCTAAAATTCCAATATACTTTTAAAAATACATATCTCTGCCTCTGAAGAAGAGATAACTACTTAGCCGAAATGCAAAGATAAAAGTGGGGCTTGTGTCTTGGGAGTATTAATATCCCCTCCACCAATGGCCCGCCGCCGCTTCTCCGTCTATAAATATCTGACGGGGCCCAATTTTATCTGTGGCTATCCTGTATCAATCAAGCCCTACCCAGCAACATCGAGTGCCGTGTAATCCGATCCTCAAACGACCATCCTCAGTTTTGTGTGGTACTACTGACGATAGTCATCGACAAAGTTGAAAACTATTCGAAGGCAGTGGGGGGTAGAGGCACAGCCCTGCAACTGTTTGCGCCCACCACACTCTGCTGGAGGACTGAGCCTACACAAGAGGAGCTCTAAAGGGGTAAAGAAGTCAAGTGATTTCTTTTATAAATTCTCACACGAGGTGATTTCGGTTCACTTCAATGCGAGATAAACCCCCGCGAGGCGAAACACGCGGGGCATAATTCGCGCTCAGCAATTTCCACTAGATGAGGAAAAACCTACGGCCTTTTTCTTCTTTGGACGGTGGCGAGTTGATCAGCAACGGTGTAAAATGTTCACTCCGGGGTTGGTGACCGAGTCAAGTGGACGGCTTCGGGAGTAGCCCACCCCCCCTCGCAGGGTGAATGATATTTTTTTTAACTCTTCTGGCAAACGATCGAAGAGGGTGATCGATGTCGTTGAACGTGAACTTGTCAGGTTATTTGAGGTCCCCTCGCCACCACTCCTCCCCACCCCTCCCACGCCACACCACCAACTCCGGGCCTTTAGCTGCAAGCGATTTCCCCACAAGAGAGGCAACCTCCACGGTGAGACGGCGTCGGCTCCACTCGCGGGCGTTGCAGCCGAAGGCAGGCCTACAGGGAGAACAGAGGCACGCGCGTTGAAATCGCCATCGCTGGCAGATACGGTCGCGATATCATGTGTCGGGGCAGCGCTCTCGTGGACGACCTTTTGGCAATTTTCCGGGAATTATATTTAAACTTTTCCATTTCATTGATTATATCACATGCTGGGACACAAAAAAAAGAAAGATCCCCGTATAGCCTGAACAGACTGTAGAAGCAAGTGCTGTTAGCGAGCACCTATGAAGGCCGGCACGGCACATGAAGGGGTGGGTGGCCAGCACCACACCCAGCCGCCTTTATCTCCCTCGTGGCAATGTTTCCACACCGTACCAGCAAGTATGTTTTAGGCTGAGTCTACCGAGGAGAGGCCCCGGACTGGCTACAGATAATCAGCACTTGTGTTGGCCGTGAGCTGGAATTGAACCCGGGTCACCAGGTTTGTAGCGCAGCACGCGAACCGCTACACTACCACTCCCCACGCACACACACCTCTCCATCATCACCAAGCCTCACTAGGCCTAGAGAAGCCTGAAGTTTATCCAGCAAATCTTTTGCCAAATATAACTTCATGAACCAGACTGCTGTTGCTGTTTTACGGTCTACTGCTGCTGCTATGCGTTCTGCTGCTGACATCATGCATGCCACTGCTGCATGTCTGCTGTTGCCACTGAAAATGCATTCTGCTGCTAGTGTTGTCGTGCCTGCCTGCCTTCCTGCATGCCTGCCTTCCTGCATGCCTGCCTTCCTGCATGCCTGCCTTCCTGCATGCCTGCCTGCCTTCCTGCTTGGTCTACAGCAAGTGGTTGGTAGGTTAAGTCGCAATCAGTGAGCATCATGGCTGCACTCACCGGTATGCATGTGTATGTTGCACTTCCTTCCCACCGTAGGTCGCCAACAGTGCCAATCGGACGCGAGAACGACTTGAGCAACAATTGGCAATTAAGTTGCACATGCACGCAGGTCACGAGAGGTTGGGGGGTTTTAGGAAGAACCGCTAAAAAATGTTCAGGAAATTGGAATCACGTTGACAAACATTGCACGCCAGACGGCCGTAAACTTGAAGAGCGTGACAAAGCAGCGCCGAGTTGTCAAATCATCTGGTGATGCTGCTGCTCCATTGGCAGTGATGCACAAGCGAATTCCCCGTCAAGAGCACCGTGAGGCTTTAAAAGGAAAACATGACATCCAACTTCTCGGGAAGTGGCTCTTCTTCTTCACGGCACGTGGTGTTAGCTGCACAGAAACGCCACACGCCAGGGGCAGTTGCCGAGCCAGTTCTGTACAGCAACTGCTGTAAATGGACTCCTCTACATACGAACATTCGACTTAAACTTGCAGAGATACGAACAAACCCGGTACGTATGTCCAGTTGCCTGTTCGGACCGAGAGTCGTAGGTTCAACCACCACACAATGGACGGCGGCAGTGGAATCTACATATGCAGAACGTGAAGAACCTGTGGCATCTACAGATTATCCGACTTTTCAAGCCATTCCCCGTGTTTCGTGTACATGCCGTATAACATGTTTGGAATCGACAAGAGTACAGTTGGACTTGCGAACAAATAGACTTGCGAACAGACCTCAGGAACCTAACTCGTTCATAAGTAGAGGAGGCCCTGTATAGTTGGATTGCAAGTTCCACAATTGATTTGCGAGTTTCTTTGATTTGAGTGGGGTTTTTTAGCTTTCTTTTCTATTGATTTTTTGTCATATTTTTGGAATGTAACAATAAATGATAGCATTGTAAGCTGCAAACGGGCTAAATATGGTGTTTCAACTAATCTGTCAACCCCTTATCAGTGCCTACCTTATTACAGACCAATTCAGATCTTATTGGTCACCCCGTGCCCCTTATAAATCTCAACGTTTATCCTACAAAGTTCCATCACAAGGGAGAAACAAAGACAATTTAATTTTTGCAAGTAGGCTTTCGTGACCAATATAATCCATAATAGAGGTATTTTGGGTTAGATCGCGTATTGTTTCGTTAAAACCCGCCACCACCCGACACAGCCAACTAGTAAGGGTTCTCACGTAAACAGAACATGTTGGAGAGCCAAGCCACTAACATTTAAAATATGAGTACGACGTTTCGCCAGTAAATACAACTATCTTCATCTGGCGTAAGAGTGCAGAAGCGTGGTCACCACATCTACGCCTCTACATAAGGAACGAAACAGTAAGACTTCTCCACAAATATGGCTGTCGCCTGAAACGTCATACTTAGATTGTAAATGTTGCGGCTTGGCTCTCCAACACACCGGTGTGCTGTACTAGTGCCGAATTGGCACGTTCTTTTTACATGACAAACCCTTACTAGTTGGCTGTGTCGGGTGGTGGCGGGTTTTAACGACACATGACGGCTGTACGCCGTATGGACCTGAAAACTCAATTTCCCTGTACAAGAATACGGGGTAAACCATATGGGTTGACACGGTATGTTTATGTTCTGAACAGAACTCTCTCCCACGAAACGTCTGGGATCTCCGGCCTGTGGATCTTTGAAAAACTCGAATGCAACTTTTAGCAATTCAGCAAATGGATTTTAGTTTCACGAGTTCGTATCATGCTGCTACTGTGTCTTCTGGAGCGCTTTGAGATTATTGATCAAAGGTGCTTTATAAATGCATTATTATTAATGCAAATAGCTGGGGTTCTTCTTTAGAAGAAAAAAACCCGACATACTGGGTCTTCATGACTGAATTATTGAATTAGCCCAGTATTTTGAGGAGCCACTAGATTGTAAATTCAGGCAACATTACAAATGGTTTAGATGTAAACACTTTAAATTCCTTATTTTGAATGCAAATAGAGATTATTCAAAAGATAAAACAATGTCAAAATATATTGAGTTTGTTTGGAGGGCTGCCACCCAACACTGCACAGGTCATCGGGGTTATTGGACCATACCACAGGTCTGGCTTGGTGAAGGCAGGGAGCATAGATATACAGCACAATAATTGGAAATGGGATGCATAAAACATTGTAAAAAAAGTGCTAAGTGGTAATGTGGACATGTTTGCTGTAGACGTTTAACCCTCCCTGTGATGTGCGTGGACTGTTTATTATTTAACCCCTTGAAGGAGTTATCATAATGAAAATAACGTTTTCACAGTGGCTTAAATAAAGACTCCGCTCAAGTTTAAATTGCGCAATGTTTTTCAACATTTCCATTGTTTTAATCCAGACACAATGGGATTGTTGCAATGCGCCAATGCAGTAAGCGCTGAGGGGGGAGAAGCCCCCTCTCGAGCGGGAAATCTATTTCATCCCAACTGCTACGCGGGTGAATAAAAAATATAAATACACTGCACCGGGAAACATAAAAAAGCACCAGGTTCCAGCGTGCAAAAACGAAATTGGCGAGCGAAGAGCTTAAGCGTCGTAAAGGGGCCGGCAGTCCCAAAAGAACAGCAGCTTCTGGAGTACGCAAATTGAAACGCGGAGTTCAATATTTGAAAACGGGATGCATAAAATATATGACATCGCGTAAATGCTCATCCAGTGCCAGATGAGGGCCTCCCCAAGCTGCGCAGGTCATAAAGGTTATTGGACTATACCACAGGTCTGGCTTGGTGAAGGCAGGGAGTATCGATATACGGCACAACAGGAGATTTTCTCACACAGCCCTCTGCTGACGATGTAGCCCCCAAGTCTGTGTACAATGACTGCGTTTTAATCGGTGGTTTGCAATCCAGGCTCAGACCTGCTCAGCTTGCGCGATCGGATTACATCAGGCGCAATTGCAGGTGACTTGGTCCATTTACTGCCAAAGCAAAACAACCTAAGTGTAAGCAACAGCAACAACAACGTTACATTGGGATTAAAACGAAATAACAAATTGGATATAAACACACGTTCTCGTTTAACACCTAGGCGTTCGCGACCAATATCAGGTTTTTTGGGCGGTTAGATCACGTAAATATATAAATGTGTCGTTAAACCCGCCACCAACCGACACAACCAATCAGTAAGGTTTGCCACGTAAACAGAACATGCCAATTCGTTACTAGTACAGCACACCGGTGTGTTGGAGAGCAAAGCCACAACATTTACTGGCGAACCGTCGTACTCAGATTGTAAATGTTTCAGTGCATACACGTAACACACAGAGACAATGCTTCAAACACAAACGTGTATGGTTTTTATGCAAAGTAGAAATGTATGATTTTGATTTAAAGCTTCGTGACTGCAGTAATTCATATTCTTAGTTCTTTCGGTAAAGTATGCTTAAGTTTCATATTAAAAGAGGCTTTGCTTTAAAGGTTATCCAACCAGCATTGGCCATCCCAAATAGTGACGCGTCCTGCCCAAGTCACATCTCGCTGCGGTGGCGAGATGTTAACTACCTCGCCTGTTGTACAGGACGACATGGGTTTAGTCCCGACCCTAACGCATGTTGTATATTTGGAGTTTGCAGGTCTCTCTCTTCCAGTAATCACGTGGATTTTTCTCCGGTTCCTCCGGTTTTTCCCTCCCGATGTAGAATCAACATGCGCTTAGAGTATTTGGCTGCTATAAACTTCCACATGCTGATAAGCCACTTTTTTGAGCGATCATATGTGATGGCCAGGTCGCTTCTGAAAAAGAACTACATAGCTCAGTGGGGCCTTACCGAGTAAAAAAATCAAGTGAAACAAATATTCTCATTCTGATCAAATGGCATGCGACGTCACATGGGGCATGCAATATTTCGATATTCCGCGTCGGCTGCTTTGACTCCACGTGGCCAGAACGGAGAGAGCAGGAAGGCTGTCGTCACAGTCGGAACTAACAAAAAAAAGTGAACGCAGGGGAAGAGAGAAAAAAAACTCCCAAAAAAGCAAATAACGCCCATTCTTGTCCCAAGTGGAAACTTATGCAAGTCGCGCGCGTCCGCACACAGAAAAAAAAACTCCACCTAACTTTTGTAACTGTTTGTTTTACAATGCAATTACGGCTGCACCTTGCAACCCCCCCCCCCCAAACCCCGTGCACACCCACATACAACGAACTGCGCCGTAGGAAAGTTTTTGCTCTTGAAGCGCAAATCGTTGGGCCCACTTGGTTGCACGGAGTTAATTTTTTGTCTTCCATTTATGTTTTTTTTCCCTTCCCTAATTTCATTCAGATTGCGCTATCGGCGACCTCGCGCCATGAGATTAAATCGACCGTTCGGATCTCTCGCAGGGCAGAGGAAAGAGCCTTCGTGCTGGCGGAAAGCCCGCTGGAGTGGATGTTACAGAACTACCTCCGAGATCCCTCCGAGTGTGCTCTGGTCAACGACGCACTCTGTCGCTGAGAGTAATATACACAATAGTCATTGCATCGCAGTCAAACTGAATTCACAGAGCGTGTTATTTAGCCAAAATGTGCACAACTAAAGTCAACGCGATGGCTTTGATTGTGCAGTATCATTGGTGACCGGGCTAAGACCACCATCACCTCGCTACACTTGGGATCACGGTTTAATCACGGTCAGCTGCCTAGATTCGAACCCAGGACATCAGTGGTGCCAACCCAGCCCTCTGACCTCCTAGCCAATCGGCAGACCTCAATTAAAATCACAATACACATCCCATATTCTGGTGCTTTTGAAGCAAATAGTTTCGGTAGATTTGTGAACTTCACAAATGTGCCGGGCTGCAAGGTGGCCTCGAGGTAGCAGTACAGCAAGTGGGTTCCTGCCCTGTCTGCCCCGACCTTTGAGTATTATCCCCTCATATGCCTCGTGCAGTGTTCTCTGTTATATCAGTTTCCTTCCACGGGAAGCCAAACACTGAGGACAACAGAACGAGTCAAACGTCCCATGCAGTGTGCAGCCCTCCTGAAAAAAAAATATTATCGTGACTAATTAAAGGAGTTACTGGACAAGGAAACAACCATAATAAAACATAGCACAGTTAACACCGCATGCTTGCAAAAAGCTTATCACTGCAATCTTACGTTCATAGTGGGTCACTCTCCATCCACTGCTACATTATTATTCCTATAACTACATGACACTGCTGTGGTAGCCACACCGTACGGAGCACACATGGCTATGTACGGTGCGAAAGAAGTTCAACACGCACACATGCAGGCAATGCGTTTCATTCCCAAAAATTCCCGAGGAAATCTCCCCACCTGCCCCTTCGGTCACCCCCACGAAGGCTCCTTCCCTCTGTTTGTCATTCAACTCGACGCACGCTGTAGAAGCTTCATAACCAAGGTTACAATCATTACCCGAACCCCCACCCTAACCACCCCGTAGGTAACTGGGGAGGGGGGCGGGGTGGGGGAAGAGTATTAACTCGTAAAGATAGGTGATCCAATATGAACCAAACTGTTATTTGCAAAATTTTGATTTAAAGCTTTCGTGACTGCAGTAATTCATATTCTTAGCTCTTTCGGTAAAGTCACGTTGAAGGGAAACAATAAAATAATAAAATATATATAAAACATATATATAACATATATATTTTATTATTTTATTGTTTCCCTTCAACGTGACTTTACCGAAAGAGCTAAGAATATGTTATTTGCAAGCTTGTGCTGCGATCAGGGACTCGGCCTATCGAAGACTGCTCAGACTATTCAAATGGTTACTGGCCAAAACTTGGTGTAACGTGCAGACGTGTTTTGTCGTGGCAGCCGCCCCGTCGTCTCAAGCTTCCAAGCTGCTAATTCCATATATTTCCCAAGGACAAACGCGCGTTGGAAAGGGGTTTAAGCAAACTGAACTACTTTTTTTTGTTATTTTACCAGGCAAGGCCCACGGAGCTGCTACGTAGCTCTTTAACAGAAGCCATCTGGCCACAAATGGTAGCTCAAGGAAGTGGCTTATCATCATCGTGTGGAAAATTTATGGCAGCAGCCAAATACTCTAAACGCGTGGTGTTGATTCTAGATGTGGAGGGAAAAACCGGAGGACCCGGGAGAAAAATTCACGCGACCACGGGGAGAGAGAGAGAAAGAGACACCGCAAACTCCAAATATACAGCAGGTGTCAGGGGGTCGGGTGGTGGGCGGTTAACAGCAGGTTCATATTTATGCGATCTAACCCAAAAACCATTATGATGAAAATACAATTCTCTGACCAAATTCTTTGTTGACACTGCCTTACAATCAGGCACAGCACCACCCGGAACACGCATCCCAGTTTCACTGTACCTCACAAGCCAAGTGGCGCTGAGCTTGGATCGTGCCTGCATGGGTGACCACCACCATGCATACCAGGTTCTTATAGGTTGCTGCTGCTGCTGCTGCGGGACTACGGGTTGGTCAGCGCAGCGGAATAAAACATTTGTACTGCACTTCTACGCTCCCCCGCCTATGCTCGCCGCGTTCACTGACAGACACCGACCAGCGTGGTGAAGTATGGTTGTGTAACCCCACGCCACACCACGGCCCGCACAGCCTGTGGAAGCCCTCATCCAGCAGTGGATTGACATAGCGCGACTGATCACGTCCACCCGCACAGCAGAAACAACGTGCTTCTAAGCAGTGGCCCTTTATCAAAACCAGTAACATTCATTTATTACACTCATTATAGGCGTCCACCGAGGGAGCCGTTTGATCATTAACATCTGCAAGTGGAAAAGACTGCCCAGAATTCAATTGAAACACGTGCTATGTGGCGATCTATAAGCTTACAGGGGCCCCCCCAAAGGAGCAACCGTGTGATGTCGCACTGCATCGCGGTCAAGTGCTTGCTCTCTCCGTGGAATGTCAGCCCACTCGATGATAAATCGCTCTAACGTTGCACGCGGTGACGATTCACGTGGCCTGTTCTTCGGTAAAGGCGCAGCCCTGCGATCCCTCACCCACGCCACCGCTTGCAGAAGGGCCTCCATTAGAGAGAACCCTTTTGTGGAGGGCATTTTGGCGGACTCATCCACGCTCGGCAAACATCTTTGAATCGATGTGAGCACCCACACTTTACCCCACCACATGGGGCCTGCGGATGGACTAATTGTGATTACTGTGTATTGTGTCCGTCAAGGAGCACAAACCACCATCACGTGAACTCCAGTCATGCTCACAGCAGTGGCTTCTGGCTAACCGTCGAACAAAGATGGTCACTGCATCGCGCGCTTTCAGATGCGCTTCTGCGGCCGTCTGGAACGCTCTTCCTTCCGATATTAGAAAGTCGCTGGAGCTACAGACTCTTGAATAATCATGATTGACAAATACATTTTTTTAACCGATTTTTGTGTTTAGATTGTTCTTCGCCTGCACCTCCAATTAGGACGGTGGGCCAAGTATGGTGCGAAATAAGTTCAAGTTCAACATACATGTTCAAAACTTTATCCAGGCAAAACGACTCAATGAATGTTCAAGATTTTACAAGATTGGTGATGCTGGCTGGAATTTGGCATACTCCTCCACAGTTGTTCAGGCGTCTTGGAAGACGTGGGTGCACGAGCATTTTAACCCCACCACCATCACTCGCGATCTGACCCCGATCATAGACTCGCTCTGCCACACACATTTATACATTGAGAATCAAAGTGCGTTCAGTGGATTTTCCTGCTGCTATAAATTCCCACGTGATAAGCCACTTCGTTGAGCTATCATTCGTGGCCAGGTCGCTTCTGAAAAAGGAGCTAATAGCTCATTGGACTTCACGTGGTAAGATAAAATAGTTTAGTTTTATTTATATATAACTTTCGTGATTTCCTTACCTTTCTACACTTTGCACTCCTGTCGTGCAATAGTATTTTTATTGTAACGCTCTGACCCCGTGCCCCTACTGGACATCTGTGAACGAGAGTTTGATTGCCTAATCGCATCCCTCCAGTAATAAATAAAAGTTCCCCATTCTGATTCTCCTGCTGGGTGGGACCCGAGGTGGCGAGTGGCAGGGGGGGGATTTGAGAACATTGCACGATTATTGTTTAAACTGACACGCAGGGGAGATCAAAGGGGTGACCTCTGGATTGCAAGTCCAGCGTGCTAATCGTTACACGGAGGCGGCATGGCCATGTGGCTGGTTTGTTGAGAGAGAGACAGAGAGAATCCGATACTTCCTCTCCTAGTTTGTAGATATGAGTATCGGCTTACGATGAAGAGCACCAACGCGAGGCATATCGCATTACCCAAGCGCACTGGCGCACTCCTCGTACACGTCGTAAACATTTTCCAAAAAGCTCTTTCCAGAAATCCCCGGGACCATTGAAAGCCCACTACTCGTGTATGCACCCGAGCAGGCTCAGAGCACGACCGATAACGCGTTCCGGAAAAAGAAAACCCGTACACATGGGCACGCAAAGGTCGTGGTTTTCGCCAATCTGTCACCGTTTAACGTATCGCGTTTAATTGATCTCCCAGCGATAGGTGCTGCCGCGGCGTTGGCACGCGTACGAAAATAGGGCACGCGCATGACGCACGGGTATCGCGTGGCCTCTAAACGCCGCTACCGGGCCAGGCACACGACACAGGATATAGGCTAGACTCTCCCGCCGACACACGCCACGACCACTGCCCTATTAGTATCTGGAGCCTCATCGGTTTTCCCCAGGACGGCTGCCACTAACTACCCTTCGATACGATCCCCATGTCCGTGTCATTATACGAGCGGTTTGCGGAGACCGATGCCCTGTGCCCTTTCGTTGCCTTTGCACCGCACATGCCTCCTCCTCCTCCTCCACTGTGTGTTCCTCCCCCTCCTCCGATTGCACAACGTGGCACTATTTGATTCTATTCCTGCGCACGGCAGCGATAAGTCCAGGAGCAAGATGCCAGTTGTCGAGATTTTTTTGCCAGGCCGATGCCCAGACAAGACCTGATTACCCACCGCGGCAGGCCTCGGGTATTTAACCAGGGGCGAGAACGCGCGGATACCTCACGAAGGCGTGCTTTGTCCGTCCAGTTCGTAGCGAGGGCGCTTCATACAATATCTGTAAATGACCAGGACAGATCCCATCGTTACAGAAGGACATTATTGCAGGCCGCCCGGACAACAAACAAAAAACACCCACGAGATTCAAACAACAACAAACAAAAACAACAGCGGCAACAACAACAACAGGGAAACACGTGGAGGGAAAAGCACTCGGACTTGGTTTCATTTGGGCAAATGAAACGGGCATAGCAGTGGGACCATAGAGGTTCAGCAGCACAACGATGGATTTGGCTTCAATCTATCTTCTGCTGTCCACAACGTAGCACAGTGGGCAGCAGCAGCAGCAGCCTATAGCACCTGTTTTTTTTCATGCGTGGTGGTCACCCATCCAAGCACTATCCAGCACGTTTAGTCACTTATAGCCATCGGACAAAGGTGGTCACCGCATCGCGTGCTTTCAGTTGAGCTCCATGCGCTCTTCCTTCCGAATATTAGGAAGCCACTGGGAGCTGTGCACTTTTAAGTCATCAAGATTGTAAACGTATTTATTTAGAACTGCGTGTTGCTGTGTTCAGTTTGTTGTCCTTCCACCGCACCTCCGATTAGCACGATTGGCTACATACGGCGCCAAATAAGTTAAACATACCTACATATAATCACTTGCACGCGAGTATTTAATATATATGCGTAACAACAATAGCATCCACAGCTCCAGGCTTAAGCCAGTCTTCGGGCTGCTCTACAACTTTCCTTGTCCCTTGCTCCCCTCTTCATGTGCTGATCAATTCTTTCTCAAACTCCATCCACAATGAGCTTCATCTCCCTGCCTCCTCCCTTCCTCCCATGCCGTCTCTCCCCATGGCCTCTCCTCTCGCTCTCTCTCTCTCTCGCCGCACCGCTCTCGAGACAACAGCGCCGCTAGCGCAGTGGGCAGCGGGCAGGGGCAGCGGGCAGGGGCAGCTGCGGCAGGGTCAGCAGGCAGGGCCAGCGCGCAGAGTCACCCGACCGGGATTACGCACAGCAGCAACAGCAGCAGGGGGGAGGGGGGGGAGCAGGGGGGGAGGGGGCGGGGGGCACCGCCGTGCGACGAGAGTCGTGAGAGTCGCAAAGCGAAGGGCGCTTTCCTGGGCACGGCGGAGCGCGATGCGGATAACAGAGCGACCATTCACCGGGGTCTGTGGAGCACTTTCGAATAAAAATACCGTTTGGCGCGGGGCAAAGACACATCGACACCGATCCTCTCTGACCATCTTCTCTTTACCGCAAGCGCTGAACCAGCTTGCCCACGTTCACAAAACGTGTTAACTCGTATCTGTCACTAAGAGATAAACTAAACTATGTTTAATTTGACCAGGTATAAAGGTCCACTGAGTTACATCGCTTTGGCCACAAATGAGAGCTCAACGAAGTTGCTTATCACGTTGACAATTATAGCTTCAAATCAAGACTCAGCCACGTATTATTGATGCATGTAAAGTGTGGACTCTGTCTTCTTTGGTGGACTCTCTAACCAGGTTTCTAAGTGTGGAGGGAAAATCCCGGAGGAGTTCAGAGAAAGACCCACGCGACCACGGGTTGAGAGACGCCGCGAACTCAAAACCTACAGCACGCGTCAGGGTCGGGATCGAACCCACGAGTCTTTACTCGTTTTATCGATGACAATTCTGAGAGTGCTTTTTGTTCCTGGCCGGCTTGATGTTTGGTACCTTTGGGCCTACCGTGATCAACAATTATGTTTAAAATAAAAACTAAAATGACTTCCGTCACTGATTGCTGTTGTAACGTTCTTACCCGCCCCTAACTGGACATCCGTGAAAAAAAAGCTTTAGAGCTCATCGGATTCTTCCAGGATAAATAAATATTCTGATTCTGATAAGAGGCTCGACGGAAGCGGTCGAGCGCTCCCACGTTCAGGAGCGCATCGTTGGCGGGTCAACGACGATTCCACTCGGCTACTCGTCGATGCTTGGCAGTAGTGCCCCGGGTAAATATCGTCCAGTGGCCACGTGGTCCCCAACGAGGTGAACTGAGTTCGGGCCCTGCCCGCGTGGCCGTGGTGGGGGGGTACCCTTCGCGTGCTTTAAAGAATTTACAATCCAACAGCTCACCCGACGGAGTCTAACCGTCTCTGATCATTATTCCAGAGAGACTACAGAACCATGTTTGAGATTTTTGTTTGTTTCAAACGTAAAAGAGGGTGCATCATTCGTAGATGCCCCATTGAAAAAGAAATATTTAGATAAATACTCGGAAAGGAAACTAAGTTTAAATTCAAAGTCTGTACACGTTCTCCCACCAATCTCGATAAACTTACACACACACACTCATTACATCTGTTTACCACTCTCTTGACACACTGTTGCCCAACATAATACTGCCCCGCCTGAATCGCTTGCAACTTCCAAAGATCAGAATCATAATTATTATTTATGCTGGAGTTACAAAGCTCTTTTTCACAGATGTCCAGTATGATGCTCAGGGTGAGATCATGATAACCGCTGCCTCGCTCTTTCGCGGATGTGTTATAGCTCTCTCCGATGTACGTGTTTTCGGAATGTTAACCGCGCGGTGTACGACGTTTCGCTCCACATGGTGGGAATTTCTTCTTCAGGAACGGAACTGAACATCCATTTCCCCGAGGGAGAACTTTATAATGGAATGTTCACTTCGCAAAGAAGTTAAACATTCGATTGTCGGACATCACGTGGAATAAACAACGCGATAGAATCTGAATAAAAAACACATCAGTGAGCTCTATAAGAGACTCTAATTAGAAATAATCTGTGTGCTCTATATCCACATATCACTCTATTTACAATGACAAAGTTTCCCCGTATAGCCTTAACAGACTGTAGGAGCAAGTGCTGTTAGCCAGCACCTATGAAGCCCGGCATGGCACGCGAGGGGGTGGGTGACCAGAACCACGCCCGGCCGCCTTTGTCTCCCTCGTGGCGATGTTTAGACACCGCACCAGATGCTCATTTGAGGCTGAGTCGAGCTAGGAGAGGCCCAGAACCGGCTCAGATAATCTTCGCTGGGGTTAACCGTGACCGGGAATCGAACCCAAGTGGCCGGGTTCCGAGTGCAGCGCGCTCACCGCTGCACTACCGCTCCCCATATACACGTCACTGTGCGCACACACACGGTATACATGTGCATGTTATGGCTGAGCTCAATGCATGCGCCCTATTGCGCAACAGACTCCCACATGTGGTTTCTGCTGTGGAACCAGACGCCCAACCTACCTCTCCGCGAAAACTTGCAAGGACGAAACCCAACGCGAGGCGAGACGAAAAGCCTCCGTGCGTGCCGCAGTAGTAACCCCGACGCTCGACACGTCGGACACACGGACGGAGACAGGCGACCCAGCGTAAAACCCGCGTGGCGAGAGACGCCGAGAGAGAGAGAGATCCAGAGAGAGACAGACACGCACACTCACACCACACAGAGATATAGAGAGCGCCCTTTGCTCTAAAGGGCTCGGTAGCAGAAGAGCTTCGCGGCGACGAGAGACCAACAGAGAGTGAGAGACGGAGAGGCGCGACTTTCACCCCACACACGCACACAGAGAGATAGAGAGACGCACACACTCACACCGCAGAGAGAGAGAGGGGCGCCCACAGTCGCAGCCACTGAGCAAGCAGCAAAAACAGGCATAGAGGGGAGGCTTCGCCAAACACGACGCAACTTTGCCGTGGGGAGGGCGGGGTCCCGTAGGCTGCTCGAGCGGGGGGTGTGGGAATGTTGTGTGGCGGTGTGACTGGGTGAGTGGATACGTGCTCAAATGTGTGGTTGAGCCATTGTGTATGTAGCGGCGGGGGGTGGTGTGAGTGCGTGGTTGGGCGGTTGTCGTGAGTGGCCGGGTGGTTGGATGAGTGGCTGTGTGGTTGGGTGAGTGGTTGGGCGCGTGATTGGGTGGTGGTGCGCGTGGCTGGGTGATTGGGTGAGTGGCTGTGTGGTTGGGTGAGTGGGTGGGGTCCATGGTTGGATGAGTGTATGCGTAGCTAAGTGCACGGTTGGGTGGTTGGGTGAGTGACTGTGGGGTTCGGTGAGTGACTGTGGGGTTTGGTGAGTGACTGGGTGGTTGGGTGAGTGGCTGGGTGAGTGGGTGGATCCATTGTTGGGTAGGTGTGTGCGTAGTTGAGTGGCTGGGTTAGGGGGGTTGTTGCGTGGCTGAATGAGCGATTAAATGCGCGTAGGTGTATTGTGTGTGGCTATTTGGGGTGGATCGGTGGTAGGGGCTCGAGTTAACACCTGAAATCTCTTCCGGAGGCAACATTTCTGAGCGAGAAGCAGCAGCAGCAGATTCCAGCAACTGCAAACGAGAGGCAAAGTAATCGCGGTTGGCGGGCTGAATTAGGGTTTTGTAACTTCTGTACGGTCGCTCCGGTCTGGGAAGGTGGCGTGGGCTTATCGGTTGTTGGCACATCAACCCCTGGCACCTGGGCCTGTCCCGTGACCTCCTCTGTCAGCGAGCCTTCGACACTTACAAAAGGCCACAAAGTGCACCTTGGCCTGCCACAACCGCTGTGGTGACGTCACCGTCACTTAGTGACACACACACACTGCTCCATGAATGCGCCATGTACCTGGCGACCTGAGTTCGACCTGAGTTCGATTCCCGAATCCTGGCCACGGATAACATCAGTGTGGGGTCAACTATACATTAACCCCAAGTCCCTCTCCCGCCCCCACTCCTCACGACTCTAACCCTTCACTAACTCCCAGTGAGCAGCGTCGTGGTTAGGTATGGATCCAGCAACCCCCGAGGTGTGGAGAGGCCTTCATCCAGCAGTGGATAGACACGGTCTGTAAGCAGGGGTATGCGGGGCCCGGGGCCAAAACACCTTCAAAGCTAAGTATTACATCTGACACCACTGTGACGTCGTTGAAGCGCGCCCCCCCCCCCCCAAACGTGGGGCCTGGGGCGGTCGCCCCGATTCGCCGTCTGTAAGAATGTGTTAAGCCGGTTGCGATTCTAGATTTGAAGCTTTCGTGACTGCAATGATCCACGCTCTTTGGTTCTATTCGGTAAAGTCACGTAGGTAAAAAATAAAACAACAAAAATCACGACGTTTTGGCCACAACACAAGCGGCCCTCTTCAGGCGAAGGAACAGAACTGTCGAGACGACAGCATTGAAGTGCTGTCGTCCCGACAGTTCTGTTCCTTCGCCTGAAGAATGCCGCTTGTGTTGTGGTCGTAACGTCGTGATTTTTGTTTTATTTTTTTACCTACGTGACTTTACCGGTTGTGATTATACCCTGTAAGTGCAACGTGGAATGTCGCTTTGCTTCATTCATACGAGACTGCGGACGCATGGTGGATATTTCTTAATTTTTTTGTCTTAAGTTTGAACGAGTCCAGCCTTTGTCGATTGTTTAGATTATTTGGCCCGCTATAAACGTCCACGTGATAAGCCACTTCGTTGAGCTATCATGTGTGGCCAGGTTGCGTCTTAAAAAAAGCTATGAGCTTAGCGGGCTATACCTGGTAATATAAAAAAACAATGTTTCGTTTTATTTGTATATTTAATTAGTTTTAAAGTTATTCGTTGACCTTTCCTATACTTTGCACCCCTATCGTGTTTCTGTATTGTTTGTTGTTGTAACGTTCTGACCCACCCCTACTGGACATCTGTGAATAAGAGCTTTACAGCTCATCGGATTCCTCCAGTCGAAATGAATATTCAGAATTTGATGGTTCTTGCTTCTAACATCCGGCACACATGAACAGCCTGCACATATAATCTCAGGTAGATTCGCCCCTCCGATTAGCACGGTTGGCTACGTACGGTGCGAAAGAAGTTCAACATACCCCCCCTCCCCCTTTATCAATCCACCTTCCCGGCCTTCAACCTGCACTAACCAGTGTGGTGAAGTATGGTCAAACTGCTTCCATGACCGTCGGCCAAGACGTCGGGATAACCTCCATCGAGGAAAGGATGTACCATTATTCGCATTCTCATTTGTAGTTCCTATAGTATAACAAGTTCATATCGTATACCGGTAATACCTATAGATTATACAATGTATAGGATTGGATCACATTTGGAAATGTATCGTGTTCTTTGCAAAACGGTTTTAATTGAACGCCGGGAAATGTACGATGCCATCTAGCGTAGTGGACGGATGTTATACATCGCTGCGGATGAGATTCCATTACACAGCGGCAACATCGCTCTTAGTCGCAAAACGGGTTTGGTTTATCGCATGGCACGGACTCTCTTCGTTCGCTCTCTGCACGCAGCATAGAAAACGCGCCAAGTGTCCCAAAATTGCCCGGGGAAACCCGCGGGTCTCGACTTGTGTGCTTTGGCAAACATGCCTTCTCGCGGGCACAGGTGAGAGTGAGTGAGCGCAATGTGCGCTGCACGAGCGCCTTGCAAATCCAGAACGTGTTGCCTGTGCCCACGCGTAAATCAGCTGCTGAACGTGGCGGGGTCAGCTGGGTTGGCGTCAGAGGGGCTATCCCGGTGTCCCACCTGACACACCACACCCACCCCACCACAGCGCCGAAGGTTTCGTGAAAATCAGAGGTTTTTTTTGTGTCCCCGAGTTGAATATTTCCTGATCTCGTTCCTGACGCGCGACACCTGAGCGCTGGGCGGGACTACCTGGTTAGTGGGCGGGGTCTATAATCACTGGGCGGGGCCAGGGTGTCAGAGGGAGCCAATCCGCTTGCTGTGGGGGGGTTGGGGCTCGCGGGGTGAGTGGGCGTGGCTATGCACAAGTAAGCGGGGCCATTGGCTGACTGGGCGTGGCGAGGCAAAAAGTAGGCGGGGTCTGGGGGAGGGAAGGATGGGCCTGCCAGCCCATCCAGGTGCCCTCCCAGCAATGTGGCAACTTCACCCGAGTGCTTTAAGCGGTCCATGAATATAAAGTAAGATTAGTTATTTGGCGTTGCTGCTGCATTGACGGGGATGCACAAGCACAACTAACTCGACAGCGTTCGTGTAACATTTTCTTTGCTGTGGGTAAGGGCCATTGCCCGAAACGTCGTCTGTTATTAAAACTAATATAAGTCCACAGTGGCGTCGACGAATGCGTTGTTGTTATCAATGTGTGACGTACATGGCGTTATCTACATGTCCCCGGGGATAGACTGAATTGGTCGTTAGCTTTGTATAGCACTACAGATTTGCTTGCCTTCAACATCTGGCCGCTCAGCAGTGTTTGTTTAAAGAGACTTGCTCAGAAAGCATATGTAAACTCATCCAGTGATCAGAATCAGAATGTTTATTTCGACAGGAGGAATCCGATGGGCTATGAAGCGCTTGTTGGTAGATATCCATCTGCTGGCAAACATTGCTGCAGAAGGCCCCATGAATTGGTGGATTAAAATATACTGTAGAGGCAAATTTTTCCCTATACTGCATGCGTGTCGGGTACTTTATTATTCTGTGAAAGACTGTGATCTTTCTTTCACGCGCGACCAAGTCACAACTGTAACAAGGAATGTTTCACATTGCAGCGTATCGTTTGTTTTGTCGTCGCGACTGTACTTTACATAACCAGGTAACACACTCATTGAGATTTGCCGTCTCTACAAATACCAAATTGCCCTGCATAGTCAGCCATCCGTACAGAGTGAAAGGTTTCAAGTGCTGGACCTATTAGAACAAGGAACCCCGGAGGAGAATATGGAGTGACCAGCAGTACCACGTCCGGCCCTCTTTGTCTCCACAGTACAGGTCTAATGTTTACACAATGCGCCCGGCACCCATTGAAGGTGAATGTTTCGGGGCACATCGATGTATTCATTCATAGTGGTTGGCCCCCTTTTCTGTCCTGGCTCCAACCCCTCACCGTCCCTCTTTGTCTTCCCAATGCAATGATGCCTCATTATTTTTCCGCCCCCACCCCACCCCGGCTTTCTGTCACCCCCCAGCTACGACAAGGCCTATCCCAAACCCTCCTTATCAATCCCTCTGTATTACTGCCATCAAAACTACACAACCACTTACAATAACCCCCAATTCTTAATTTATGATTATTATCACGCAATGTACAATTTAATAATTGCTGTAAAGCGCTTTGGCGCTATATACATCTCATTAACATAAAATAAGCATCGAGTGATCGATACGTCAGTGTCCTTATCTCGATGTCTCATCCCCAGCGCTGAGCCATTCATTGGTCCACTGCACACGAGGGCCGCTGCGTTACCCGAAGTTGGGGGGGGGGGGATGTGACGTCACAGGAAGAGTAGTCGCTCCTGTGACGTCACGTCGGCACTTTCCTGCGACATGGTTCTGTCACGCGAATGCCACGTTTTGGTTCATCTATCAAACTAAAAAACAATCTACATATCACGTATTGATTTATAGATGGTACTTTACGTAAAATCAAATAATTCGGTGAATAATGCATACCGGTATTAATACAAATGATCATTAGTATCATTGTAGAGAATATAAGAATTACATCTGGCAGTTCACAAGCATTCAAGTGATCCTGACTCTGCTGATGAGGCAATGAATGTGAAAACCGGTCCAGAGTTTGCTTGTGATGAACTTGTGCACTCCCAGAAGGCCATGTGTCTCATGGCATGTGGAGGGACAGATGCGGGCAGGAGGCGATTTGTCTGCTTATGTTAATGGCATTGCGTAAATCATTTAATTTAGTCGATAAACAATTACAACTAATATAGACACATTCAAATGCCAACACATATGGATGTGTTCTGGTCGTCGAAATAACATGCAAAAAATAAAAAAAATATATAATATTCGGATGATCCGAAACGGGGCCTAAAACATGACATTTGGAAAAAGAATACATAAGATACTCTTCTGAATTGTACACGCAAGACAACGATCCCCCTTCTCAGCCTTAACGGACTTTTATAGCAAGTGGTGTCAGCGAGCAACCTTTCTCCCCAATGGCAATGTTTATGCTTGTCAACAAGG